CTTTTTTGGATTGGATGCTCATTTGAGCTTTTAGACTCTGTTACCATATCTAACACGACCTATCCCAAAATACCTACTAGTCATAGAACGAGCAACGCCAACCACATACCCCACTAGCTACAGAGTCTATAGTCAACTTGTTTTTGCTACCAAATCTTATATGTGCAAGTTTACAATATCGTCGCAGCAAGTAATAAAAGTTCGTATCCACAAAGACTAAATGCTTAAACACTCAATATTTACTCAAGGAAACAATACAATAAACCAAGGAGTTTTTCTTTTACTAAAACTAAAATTTATTGAGGTAAAGACTAGTTAAAACGAGTATCTTAAATTAAACGCAAGGGTGAAGTCCGCTAGTTTCCCACACATCCACAATCACTTGATAACAGCGTATAAGAACAACGACGTAAGGGGGAGAGGAAGTCAACTCGCCTGGGCCACTCTAACTATGCTGTAGTATTAATGGAGTACTGCAGTGGTCAAACATACAAGGTGTTCTTCCAAACACCCCAGATTTTCTACTACTAATATTTATAGACAAACATCAATAGCATATATGCATAGTTTTTATGACCAAGCTAGGTGATGCTTATCCCTAAGTCACCACACGCTAAACTCAAGTAGACTCTAGCCCAAGATGAAGGGTTTCGCTCCTTAATACATTTTTCCAAACATTATCAAAGAGGTATTTCAAAATGGTGATCAAGCATGTTAAAAATATAGTGATAAAGCAACTTCAACTCAAAGCAAACTTTCATTAAAGCAAACAACAATGTTACAACCAAGAAAATAAGTCTAGAACATCTCCCCCTTACACATGTTGGTTAGCTATGCAAAGCCATAAGGAGAGTTAAACAAAACGTAGGAATGAAAATAATACAAAGATGAGAAAATGAAGAGAATGAGCTGAAGATCGGCTCTCAAATGCCACTGAAGAGTCTTCTTCTTCTCTTGACTTTCTCTAACGGTTTTTGGAGAGGGTTTCTTGGAGTGAGGTTGGATTCCTTCGAGAATGAATCAGGGTAATGTTTCTTAATGTGTGTGTCCTTGGAGGCTTCTCCTCTTGTTTGCATTTATACCCCCTTCAGATATTAGGGCAACAACACGAGCCTTGAGGGACCCAGCTCTCACTTTTGGGTAAAACCTCCAATTACTGTGGTAAATTCCGCTGAGAAGCCCGTTCACTGTTAGCTTGCTGCTTTTTGTCTTTTGTCTTTATCTGGAACCGATGTTATAGCATCATCGAAACTGCAGCAAAAATGCTCAAAATTAGATCGTTTAATTTAGTGCTAACATAGACTCTTAGGAATGCGAGATATCTATTTATCTTGTAATTCAAGCACACTCACTGAACAAATGGGGCTAGAATATACTAATTTTAGCTATTTCATGCAACTTATAGGCACAATTAACTCTCTTTAAGAGAGTTATCACACCCCAAACTTAGCCTATTGCTTGTCCCCAAGCAATGCTAGCTCTTCTATTCTAAAAGCTAAAAGCTACTAGCCCCGTGCCCTAACCATTCTCATCTCTGCCCTAAATTCATTGCTGTGGTAAGTGTTTCTCAGAGTGCTCATGCCTTAGCTTACAAAGGGACCAACCAGCTCTTGCATTAGAACTAAGGTGCTTTGTTCATATTTGAAGGCCATGGCTCACCTTCTCCCTTGCCAACTTTCAAAAATTTCCCCCAACCCCTTTTCAAAAACACTGACTTCCTTCCTACTCTACCGACCAACTAAAGTCTTCTAGGCCAGCTATGGGCTACTAGCCATTCCGGACCTTGCAGCTCTTTTTTTTTTAGAGCTGAATTACTGGGCCAAAATTTTTTCATAACTTAACAAGACAGCTCTTGGCACAGGGGTTACATTACATATTCTATTGTTACACACGAAACTCCCTCACCTCGAAACTTAAAAGGAAGCATTGTCCTCAATGCTTAGTAGATAAGGACAAGGCTCCCCCAAACTTAGCTTGGTCCTAGGAAAGATAAAAATATTGAATAAAAGGATTTTGTAGCATAAGATGTTCTACCTGGGGGAATTTGGCGCTTAAAGTTAAGGACAATGGTTAGCTAGTATTGTGCTTAATAGGAACAAAAAAAATAAAAAATCAGCATTGAAATTCAATTGGGGTCAAAAGCTCTAGAGTTGGCAAGAGGTACTTAGCAAGGCAAGGTTACCAAATGCTAGTAAAAGACGAACTTAGAGATAGGGCAAGGCTAACAGACACCTTAGATAGGCAAGAGCAAGAACACTCATCCTATGAATTTCTACAGATCAGTCATTTGGGTAAAGAATTAAACAGTAAAAAACACACAAGCTAGTAGATATAACACATCGTGCAAAATCTTTCATTCATTTTCATTTTCAAGTAATGGACTAAATTGAAATGGTAACAATCTAAAACCTAGAATTTAAAAAAAAAATGCAAAAACTAAACATGTAAACTGCCTAAACTAGCCTAACTAGAATGAAAAGTGTAGAAACGTAAACTTGTTGAAAAGAAAACAAAGTAAAGGTAAAACAGATTTCAAGCGGGGAAATCAACTCCCCTGTTTAGCTTTTTCATCCTCTTCACTGGAGCCGCCCGTAGGCTGAGATGTTCCAGCACCATCCACTTCTTTATCTTTATTCGGCCTGTCTTCTGGAAATCTTGGAAAAAAAGGAAAAGGGCAGGAGAAATTTTGCATGAGGGCCTTGCGGATCACGATGTCTCTCTCTTTAGAATAACACATGTAGGAGCCTGTTGCCTTCTCTCTATAGCCGCTACTACTCCTACGATGGAGTCGAGCTGCTGCATCAAGCTGGCTTGTGTGTTTGAGACTTCTTTAAGCCCAAAGACAATATTTCCTCCACGTTTACTGTGATCAACGACCTTCAACCTCTCAATTGCCATCTCATTGATGACACCCTTATCCTTCAACATTTGATTTGTGTCTTCCATCTTGACTCCCTAGAGGATACAAAGCTCTGTGATCAGATTGGGGAAATATAGGTTGCCCTGCTTTCGCCTCTCAACCCCTGTAATCTCTCTTTCAATGAGTTGCCCCACATTGATGCTAAGACTTTCGATAATGCAAAGCAGGAGGAGAACCCGTTCCTTCGTGATGGAGGTGTCATGCATTATGAGCATGAGTTTGCTTTTGACGAGATGATACCAGACGTTGGCTTCGAGCTTAAGGTAAGTTGGGAGGAAAGTCTGCACTCCTCTAGCTTATAGCTGTCATCTTAACCCTTCTACACCAATACATTTGATAGCTCTATTTAGTTGCTCTTTCATCTCATTAAAAGTAGCATGAGATTAGTTGGGGAGATTGTATACCTCGTTGATGGCCTCTACGTTCCAACAGACATTCCTACCTCTTACCATCACATTGGAAGGGTCACTAGGGTTCAGGTTGGCGAAGAATTCTTGAACAATTTGAATGACCGCAGGCTTGGACTGTGCGCAGAAAGTTTGCCACTCATGCTTGTTGATGGTGGTGGAGACAAACGAGGGCATGGATGAATCAGATGGAAAGCCCCTTTCTCCTAGCAGATTACGCTCCTTGAGGCTTTCAAACCACAAAAACTCTGAGGACCCTGCAGCAACCTTCTTTGTGCCCTTTTTCTTAACCTACATGTCGACCTTCTGTTTGGGCTTTCAAGCTCAGCAACTGGGAAGGGCTTCCTTTTTCTCTGTGATTTTCTTGTAGGTACCGGAGCTGCTTCATCCTCGCCTTGTCTTTCTTCTTGCTCTTCCTCAGGTAGAGCTTCTCCTTCTCTGGCTGTTGCCTTGGCTGCGCCACCTTCCCCTAAATTATGTTCACCACTGCCCGCTTGCTCATGGCTACTGTCCGCTTGGAAGAGCATTTGCATAAAATCTTCGACCCTGCGTCTGGCTTCAGGCAACTATTTTGGTCCTCTTTCTGCCTCTGTCTCGGCATTCTGTCCTTCTTCATGCTCAGTATTCTGACCGGCTGCATCGGTTTGGCTGCCTTGACCCAGCTGCTCCTCTTCTTTTACTAGGACAAGCGATTGTTTCTTTCCTTTCGCGACTTTCCTTCCTTTCTTGGCAGCAATTTTCTTTTTAGGCGGGGAAGGGATTTCATTCTCTGGAGCAGTGCTTTCAGGTAACGGGTTGGGTTGGGGTTCGGTTTATGCTGGTTTTAACGACTTTTCCAGCGAAGGAAACGGTGTCAACTCTTGGGAGGGATGGTTTTCTTACATTTCTTCGCTTTCGCTTTAACTCGAGGCATGTTGGGATGACGAGGCTAACAGTTTGTCAATGCTGTAGGGGACCTAGGGTTAAGGGAAAGCGACTAAACAGAGAGAGGCGAAGGAAGAGGAAGGGATGGGAAGGATGTTAGCACGAAATTAGGGCTTCGAATTTTTTTGCTTATGATGATAATCTCCTTTTTTGTCTTTCCTTAAATAGGCTTATCAGCCTTATCCTTACTAATGCTCAGAAAAAAAAACAACTACCCCCTAATTACTTTTCCTTCTTTTCCGAAGAATTTCAAATTCAAAAACTCTCACCCTTTTTTCCTTTCCTTGAAAAACGCCATGCTTTTCTCAAAACGTGGGAGAAAACTGTCTAAGATAATTCGGTTTTAAAAACTTCTGACGTACAATTTCTTTTCTGATAGATTTTCTGCTGCAGGCACTAATTGCTTTTCTCTCTCCTTAACTGCTTTTCTCTCTTTTTTTTTTTAAATTCCACTTTATTTTTCGTGTCCCTAAGTTATGTTCCAGCATCGACGAGGTTGACCACTCTTTCCTCAACTTCCGCCAACTCCACTCTTTCCTCAACTTCCCCCAACTCTACTTAGTAATTTTAGCAACGAACTGGTGGAGTTTTTCCTTTGCCTGAAACAAAAATAAACAAAACAAGAAACATGCCTCTAATTAAAATTTTCCTACTAACACTAAGAAGATTAAACTGAATTAACTAGATTTAAACTACAGAGAGAAAAGAAACAAAGGATTCTTCCCCTTTTATTTTGTCTTGGTAACCACTTATGCTAATCTCAGCTGGTCGGAATCAATCTTCCTCACCACTTCTCCTCCCCAGTAGTGCTTTAATCTTTGTCCATTCACAGTGAACTCCATTTCATTATCATCTTCTTTGACGGTTATAACTCCATAAGGATATACCTTCACCACTGTGAATGGCCCTGACCACCTTGATTTTAACTTTCCAAGAAACAACCTCAGCCTTGAGTTGAATAACAACACCTTCTGTCATTCCTCAAATGTTCTTGGCTTTATTCTTCTGTCGTGCCAAACTTTGGTCTTCTCTTTGTAAACTTTTGCGTTCTCGTAGGCTTCTCTTCTGAATTCATACAACTCTAGCAGCTGAAATTTTCTTGCTTCTTCTGCTGCTGATAGATACATATTCAACCTCTTCACAGCCCAAAATGCCTTTTGCTTAAGTTCGAGTGGGAGATGACATGTCTTTCCGAAGACTAGCTTATAAGGGGAAGTTCTTATGGGAGTTTTATAGGGAGTCCTATATGCCCATAATGCATCATCTAACTTGTCAGACCAATCTTTTATGTTGAGATGCACTGCCTTATCCAAAATTCTCTTAATTTCTCTGTTTGATACCTCTGCTTGACTATTTATGTGAAGGTGATAGGCGGTGGATACCTTATTCTTGATATATTTTGCCTGTAAGGAACTCATGGCCTTGTTAACAAAATGGGATCTCTCGTCACTTATAATTGCCCTAGGGGTTCCAAATTTGGTGAATATGTTCTTGTGTAGGAATTCAAAACTGTTTTCGCATCACATGTTACACAGGCTATTGCTTCCACCCATTTAGAAACATAATCCACTGCCAACAAGATGTAGAGGTTACCATTYGATGGAGGGAAATGTCTCATAAAATCTATCCCCAGACATCAAAGAGTTCTACATCAAGGATAAAATACAGAGGCATTTCCGACTTGTTTGAAATGTTTCTCACCTCTGGCATTTGTCATAGTTATTGACGTATGAGTGTGAATCTTGGAAAATAGTTGGCCAATAGTAGCCACTTTGAAAGATTATGGCTGCAGTTCGCTGTCCTCCAAAATGCCACCATACGGGGCGGAGTGACAATACTTCAGCACTATTGAAGCTTCAACACTGTCAACACAACTGCGCATAATTTGGTCTTTGCATACTTGTACAGATAAGGATCATCCCAGTAGTAAAACTTGTTGTATGAGTGAATCGCTTAAGCTGCTGCCTTTTCAGGTCTGATGGCAAAATTCCACTAGCCACATAATTGGCCATATCAGCAAACCATGGCTCCACATCTTTTCTCTGTTCTGTCACCACTAGCAATTGCTCATCAGGAAAAACATCTCTTATCGATGCTTGTTGTCCTTTCACTGTTTCTTTAAGCTCCACTCTCGATAAATGGTCTGCTACTTGATTCTCTTATCCTTTTTTATCTCTGATCTTTAAATCAAATTCTTGTAGCAGTAACACCCATCTAATCAGCCTTGGCTTGGCATCCTTTTTGAAGAGCAGATACTTGATGGCTGCATGGTCAGTCTATACTACTACCTTCTTTCCAATAAGGTAAGCTCTGAATTTTTCAAATGCAAAAACCACCGCTAGCAGCTCTTTCTCAGTGGTGGTGTAATTGAGTTGAGCTTCCACCAGTGTTCTGCTGGCATAGTAAATTGGGTGGATTAGCTTCCCTTTCCTTTGTCCTAACACTGCTCCTACTGCATAATCACTAGTGTCACACATGACTTCAAATGGTTCCTTCAAGTTTGGTGCAGTCATTATGGGCTTCGATGAGAGCTGTTTTCAATGTGGTGATAGCCTGAAAACAATCAGAAGAGAAGTTAAAAATTCACTCACTTTCTAAAAGACAGCATAAAGGCTTAGAGATTTTAGAAAAATCCTTTATGAATCTCCTGTAAAACCCTGCGTGTCCAAGGAAACTTCTAACTCCTCTAATTGAGGTGGGAGGTGGCAGCTTCTCTATGACTTCAATCTTGGTGCGATCTACCTCTATTCTCTTCTTGGATACTTTGTGGCCCAATATTATCCCTTCCTTCACCATAAAGTGGCATTTTTCCAAATTGAGCACTAAATTAGTGTCCTCACATCTTCTCAACACTTGCTCCAGGTTGCTCAGACACTCGCTAAAGTCCCTTCCAAAGACTGAGAAGTCGTCCATGAAGACCTCGACCACGGTTTCTATTAAGTCTGAGAAGATTGCCATCATACACCGCTGGAATGTTGCTGGAGCATTGCACAGTCCAAAGGGCATTCTCCTAAATGCAAACGTACCATATGGACAAGTGAATGTCGTCTTTTTCTGGTCTTGAGGATCAATGGTAATCTAGTTGTAGCCATTGTATCCATCCAAGAAACAGTAGTATTCTTGCCTAGTCAATTGATCTAGCATCTGATCAATGAATGGCAATGGAAAATGGTCTTTCTTGGTTGCCTTATTCAATTTCCTATAATCCATACAGATGCGCCAACCTGTTATGGTTCTTGTGGGGATCAACTCATTGTTGTCATCTGGCACCACTGTGATCCCTCTTGTCTTGGGTACACATTAGACTGGGCTCACCCAATCACTGTCAGCTATTGGGTAAATTATCCCAACATCTAGCCATTTAATGGTTTCCTTCTTGGCAACTTCCTTCATGGTCGGGTTCAGCCTTCTTTGGTGCTCAATTGAGTTCTTACATCCCTCTTCTAGATTGATCTTATGTATGCAGTAACTTGGATTGATCCCCTTTATGTCAGCTAAAGTCCAGCCAATCACCCTCTTGTGATTCCTCAACATTTCTATGAAACGATACTCTTTATCTTTGTTTAAGAATGATGACTGGCGGTGTTTCTACTTCTCCCAGATAAGCATACTTAAAGTGTGATGGTAGGACTTTCAGCTCTAACTTGGGGGCATTCACCACAGATAGCTGCAGTGGCACTTGTACCATGTCCTTTAATTCCAGCGATTCAAACGTTTTCTTATAGATTCTATCAGTAGCAGAGTCATTCGGCTGGCCTTAGATCATCTTGGCCTCCTTGTCTCCAGCCTTGAGAATTCTGGTTAGCTCGCTCTCTATTTGGTTCAACAGCTCTTCCTTTTGTATTCCATCACTCTTCAAATCATCTGCAATCCTTAACAAAGAACATTCTTTCACATCAGTAGGGTATTTAATGGAGTTAAAAATAGAAAATGTCACCTGCTAGTCACTAACTCTCATAGTGAGCTCTCCATTATACATGTCGATCAAAGCTCTCCCCATGGATAAGAATGGTCTTCCCAAAATGATTGAGATTTCCTTGTCAGCTTCATAATCCAGTATGATGAAATCTGCAGGAAAAATGAATTTATCTACCTGAACCAAAACATCCTCTATCTTGCCTTTAGGATGTGTAATGGACCTATCTACCAACCGTAAGGTGATGGTTATTAGTCTTGCTTCTCCAATCCCTAGCTTTTGATACACTGATAAAGGCATCAGGTTGATGCTAACGCCCAGGTCACACAATGCATGCCCTACATTCTTCCCTCCTATAGACACAGGAATGGTAAATCTTCCAGGATCACCCATTTTTTGAGGGAGCTTTCCTGTCAAAAATGGCACTAGATTCTTTTGTAAGTGCCACCGTTTCAAATTCGCCTAGCCTTCTTTTCTTTGCCAATATATCTTTGAGGAATTTAACATAGTTTGGCATCTGCTCTAATGCTTCTACCAAGGGTATGTTGATATGGAGCTATTTCAGCACCTCTAAAAAACGATCAAACTGGACATCTTGGTTTTTCTTTTGCAACCGTTGAGGGTAAGGGGGGAACTTGATGTTCCACTTGAATTTTTACTGTCTTTTGCATTGATCTCCGTAGACACTTCCTCCATAGGTTCTATTTTTTAGGCCCTCTTTCCTTTGTTTATCTCTGGCTCAGGCTACTTCGTCATTCCTTGATGTGCCACCGGTTCTGGTTTCACTGTTTGCTCAACTGATGCTCCAACATCATTCACTACATTCTCTTCAGTATTCATATTCTCTGCTATACTCTCAGTCACCTTCTTTATCTGAAGCTCTTCCTGCTGTACAACATTATCCTCTCTCATTAGAGCTGGGTAGGGATGCAGTAGTGCTTTTCCATTGAGAAGGGTCAATGCTTGACACTGTTCTTTTCCTTCCCTCTTAGGATTCTCAGTATTACTTGGCAGGGTGCCTTACGGGCGATTTTTCATTGTTTTCACAGGCTATCTTGACCACGCCGATCTCGTCCAAAGGGAAGCTCCCAAGCCTCGACAAATATGATGGGTCCGCAAATCTAATTGACCATATGGAGACCTATGAGTCGCTGATGGACTTCCACACCTACCCTGATGCAATGAAGTGCAGGGCATTCTCCGTGACCCTATAAGTGTCTACGAGGAAATGGTACCGGCAGCTCTTGCCCCACTCAATTTCCTTTTAGAAGCACCTCCGCAAGGCCTTTGTGGCCAAGTTTGCAACTCAGTAGGAGACTCAACACCCAGCCCAATATCTGCTCACTATAACGTAGAAGGCGAGGGAAAGCTTGAGAGATTATGTGAGAAGGTTCTTCGGGAGACAGATCACAGTGTCCTACAACGAAGAGTTCGCCTACTCAGCGTTCGCCTCGGGAGTTCGACATGAGCAGCTGAAGTGGTCGCTCGCCAAGAAACCTGAGCTCACTATCAAAGCCAGCTCAAACTAGGAAGTTCATGCAGGCGAGTGAGCTCATCCAATCGAGGGAGAACCCTCCAAGAACCAGTCCTACACGTGAAAGAATGGGTCGGGACAGCTTTGGAAGGTCGCCTTAGTGTCAATGATAGTATGACCGTGAGCCTCGACAGAAGCAGGATCAATAGCGCGGACGACCTGAGAGATATGATCGCTTTACACCTTTGAATGTCCCAGTGGCGAAAATTCTTGCCAACATATAAGACTCGAAGCTAGACTTGCTCACCGAGCCCAATCTCATGCGTCGAGATCATGAGAAGCGTAGCCGGTCAAAGTTTTGCCATTTTCACAAGGACCACGGCCATGACACCTCCGACTGTTATGACCGGAAGAGGTAGATCGAGGGCTTCATTTAGAAAGGGTACATCAAGAAGCACGTGGGACGAGCTCTCAGCGAAGGTGGGAACGGGGCAGGCGATTCGAAAGGACAAAGGACAGAGAGAGAGAAGATGTGATCTCCCTCAAAATGCATGGACCGACCTGTTGTGATCAACATGATCTTCGGAGAATTGAGTAGGGGGAAATCAGGAAACAACCATAAGGCACTGGCGTGAGAAACCCGCCATGAGGTATGCGTGAGCTACATGCAGCTCATCCCTTACCAGATCTCATTCTCAGATGAAAACATGAAAGGCCTACACACTCCACACAATGACGCCCTAGTCATCAAGGTTAAGGTAGACCACGTAATGGTCAGGCGGATTATGATCGACGGAGGTGCTTATGCTAACATATTATCGTTCTCTACTTACCTTGCTCTAGGATGGGAGCGAAGCCAGCTCAGGTCGAGCCCCACTCCGCTGGTCGAAAAAACCAAACGAAAAATAGAGGATGTACGTAGACTTCACTAACTCAAACCGAACGTGTCCAAAAGATAGCTTCCCCCTCCCTAAGATCGATCAGCTGGTCGACGCGATGGCAGGGCACGCGCTCCTCAGCTTCATGGATGCCTACTCAGGCTATAATCAAATCAAGATGCACATCCCCAACTAAAAGCACACCTCATTCATCACTGACTAGTGGCTCTACTGCTACAAACGTGATGCCCTTCGGGCTAAAAAATGCTGGAGCGACTTACAAACACATGGTCAACAAAATGTTTGCCGACCAGATAGGTCGGATATGGAGGTGTATGTAGATGACATGCTCGTGAAGAGTAAGAAGACGACCTCCCATGTCGCTGATCTGATGGAGACATTTGAAATTCTCTAAAACTACCAGCTGAAGCTCAATTTGGAAAAGTGCGCGTTCGGGGTATCGTCTGGCAAGTTCTTAGGGTTCATGGTAAACCAGTGCAGAATAGAAACGAAACCCGAGAAGATCCGAGCTGTATTAGATATGCAGCCACCTTTAAACTTAAAGTAGCTCCAATATCTCAACGAAAAGATTGCTACGCTAAATCGATTTATGTCGCAATCTACGGACAAGTGCTTGCCTTACTTCAAGGTGCTACGGAAGAAATATTGCTTCAAATAAACCTCATAGTGTCAAGGGCCTTTGACGAACTCAAAAGCTATCTGAGCTCAGCACCACTGTTATCAAAACCACTGCCTAGTGAAAAGCTCGCATTTTACCTGACAGTGTTCGCAAGTGCAGTGAGCTCGACGCTGGTAAGGCAGGACGGTGGTCGGTAGAGCCCTGTGTACTACACGAGCAAATCCATGATGGACGTCAAGACTTGCTACCGACAGGTGGAGAAGTTGGCGCTGGTGCTAATTATGGCAGCGCGATGACTTCGACCTTGCTTCCAGGCTCATAAGGTGAAGGTCCTTACTAACTTCCCCTTGAAACAGGTCTTCCAAAAGCCCGAAACCTCGGGGAGACTCATGAAGTGGCCTCTCGAGCTAAGTGAGTAAGACATAAGCTTCGAGCCAAGAGCTGCAATGAAGGGTCAAGTCGTGGCCGACTTCATAGTTGAGCTCACTCCGCTGTGTAACTCGGTGGGAGAAAGTTTGAACAAGTGGGTCTCCAATGTCGATGGCTCCTCGAATGAGAAAGACAGTAGTGTCGAAGTTCTTCTTCATGCACCCAGTGGATATTGGTTTGAATAAGCACTAAGATTCAACTTCCCAGCTTCAAACAATGAGGCCAAGTACGAAGCACTGGTGGCAGACCTACGTATGGCTGAAGCCATGGGAACCACGCACTTGGACATAAGGAGTGACTCACAACTCGTAGTTAACCAAATTACCGAAGAATACTAGGTCAAAGACAATAGGATGGAGAAATACCTACACAAGGTATACGAGCTATTGTCTCAATTCCTTAGGTACACCATAGAACGAGTACCGCATGCGAAAAACACTAATGCAGATGCCTTGGTAAGATTGGCCTCCTCAACTGTCTTGGCATGACCAGCGGTCTCCTTATTCGCCCACTGCTCTCGTCCAAGGAGCTCCGCACCATGAAGGTCACTAAGCTACATATGAGGGCATGCACCTGAAAGAACAAAAGTAAGAAAAAATAACTAAACGATTGAAGTACTAAGTATAAATGAAGAGCTCTAGAAGGGTACCTCGACAGCGTGGTCGATGGCCAGCTAAATGGTCTCCCTAGCTGTCCCAGTAGGTGAGTTGATGCTCCCCAGAGCTCGGTTCAAGCTCGCCAGGTTTGATTCTTCACGATAGGGCATCGATGCTGCTAGAAGTGGGGTAGCTCCTGAAATGGAGGTCGCAGTCCCTTACTTTGCCTATATTCCTAGCGATGTGCGACCCCCTTGAGTCGGCCACTACAGAGGGGCCAACCTTCTCAGCCCTCTCAATAGCCCATGAACTCGGGCTAGACCCCTAATGAGTCTTCTTCTTCTTCTTCTTTTTCTTAGGAGGCATTGTGAACTATCTGGAGTGGAGCCACCTCGATCGGGTCCGAATGGGGAGCGGAAGGGACGGATCCAACAGAGGCCTATCCGTTAGGGACCTCGATAAGCGATGTGTAGCTACCAAGCTAGGTACCCTCCGTTTCCGGCCAATGAGGAACTCAGGCAGCATGTCTGCAACGACACCATATGGTCAAATTCACTGGTGAAAGTGATAGTTGGCAAAGTGAGAATAAAAGATGACGTACCTTCGGATATGAGAGATAAAAGAAGAGAGAGAGATCTAGAGGGGCTGGCGTGCATGGGTTAGATGCAGCCTCGCCTAGTGCGATCTCCTCTCATATGCAGCCCACTCGAAGATGTGCAGGCTACAGTCGTACAAATTGTCGTCGGCCATAAGAGTGAGGTAGTGTTGATCTGCTCGGTAAATTTTAGGAATCCTCACCAAGTATTTGCAGGTGAGCTCGTCAGGTCAGGGAATAAACTTGGGGTGAACTACAAACAAAAAAGAAAAGTGAGAAGGTTGGCAAGGCTTGAAAACACATGGCGACTAAGGAAGAGGGGCGTTACCTCGATTGCTGAAGTGGCGAAGAACCCGCCATCTCAGCTCGCCCTTACGACCCTAGCCAACCAGTCGCCGTACACATAGAACTAATCGTCTTTCCAATGCTTAATAGAGGACGGTCCACAGACTAGTTTCCCGACGCCCTGTCGAGCTGTGAGGTAAAACCGACCTGGTTCCCTTGAAAGGTTATTGACAGTGTAAAATGAGTGAAACTGGCTCAGGGTGAGGTAATTTGCACCTATGGTATCTACCCCAAGCCCCAACATAACATCCAACAGCCGAGAAGGATGCCCCAGCCATTGGACGCGAGCTGTGCGGAAGGGTGAAGGGGGAGCCTAACCCTTAACTCGAACATTTTCTCGTAAAAGGCAACATGCCCCTCAGGAGGA